TATTTTTGCAGGGCTTATGATTCTAGAAACGTCGTTTTTATAGTTCACATCAACAGTATTGCAGTTGCCTTAAAGCTATTACTGTGCTGGTGACACATACTGATAAGTGATATTTTTGTATTATTTTTGCTTATAGTCGTTTGTTCTTTTATCAAAACTTGTATATATTTGTATAGTTTTGTATACAATTTTATCTCAATTGTATAGTTAATTACGAAAATGCTTATAATATTTCGGTTTTTCTTTATTAAAACTAATACAAATATTTTACCTTATTATTTTTTTACACAAAAAAAATGTTTACATTCTGTTTGTGTTCATTTGGGATTTGACAGCTGACCACCGAGGTCAGACAAGGCCCCACTAGAAAAGTCTTATAGTCATTCTATTGAGGCCTTGATTCAGGAGGAAAGGAACCAAGAATATCATAAAACAAAAATTCCCTAAGGCTCAGTTTAAAAATATAAAATGTTTTCTAAAACATACATTATTTTTTGCGTTGTGTAGACTTACACAAATCTAGATTTAGATTGTGATTTGTGGCTTTTTTTGTGTGTGTGATTTAGATTATGATTTAGATTTAGATTTGACTTGTGTTAAATCTTAATTCGGAACAGCTCATTTGTGTCCAGTTAATATATTAAAATCCCTCTTATATTGCCCATTTTCACTGGGCAATAACCTTAATTTGCCCGAAAAAAATTCAAAACCTGTGCATTCTTCAAGGCAAAATGCATCAAACCTTACTGTTATCGTAGTTTTGAGGCCTATTTAAGAACAGTTTAAAACTATTTCTAATATGAGATTGGGGACTATTAAGGTAAGAAAGATAAAACAGATCATGTAAATATTTGTAACAAAGTAATAAGGGATAATAAGGGTATAAGGTTTGTAGGGTTAGTATATCTCTAAGTCTCCAATTAGTGTTTTATTTTTTTTTTTCAAAATTTTATTTACATTCCGTATTTTTTTTGTCCATAGAATTATGGACAAATTACAATAATAATAATATTTATTATTAACGTAATTTGGTATAGTACTCGTTTGATTCATTTGAACAAAAAGTTATAACTTTTACATTATCAAAAAAGATATCCATCGTTCGGGAACTAAAAAATCAGGCAGTGTCTTTCAAATTCATTTCAAAAATATAAAACATGTTTATGGAAAGTCGAAATAATTTCTTTCTCTGAAGAAACGAAGCGGAAGAGTTATTTGACAAATAATAACAAGATTTATCAACAGCACTGAGAGCCTACAAACCAAATTACTTTCGCAGCGGCTTCAAATCACCCGCACTCCATAATTTTAGCTTGTTCTGAATAATTTTGCGTTGTAAATCAACAAAACAGTTGTAGAAACCTCCGTGGTGCGCTGTAATGATTTACACATCTCACTATTTGATGGTATGATTTAAAATTTTACTTTGGCAAAATATTTGTTTAAAATCTGTACCTATTCATAATTTTTACCGATTGCTTTATTTTAAATAGGTGATAAATAATTGACTTTTTGATAACGTTCAGTTGAATTTTATTGACTATTGGCTTTAGACACTACATTTAGATTATTAATATGAATAGTATATGAAAATGCAAATACTCAGTTAGTTTGAGATTACTGAGATGATCTTCATGTTTTGTTAAATGTTTGGTTTTGAGGAAATAAATTCATTATTCAATATTCATCATACCAATCATTCTACTTAGAATTATCAAATTTTGGCAAAGGTGGTCACTCTATGGTGTAGATATGTAATATGCCGGGGTTTTACCAAATTTTAAACTCAAGTGGGGTTTAGAGGGGAGAAGCTATTATCGGTCAAATTCGACAATGTAAGTCTTTATATTTTGGTATGTATAAGTTGAACTAATGCTTGAATCTTAAATCCGATAAAAATCGTTAGTACGATACTAAATTGTTTACAAACTTTGTATTTAAAGTTCTTTTCACGAAAGTTCAAGTTCAATGAGTACAAAGCTATGTAGGGCGAAGTCGATGGGCAGCAGCCAGTACTATTATACAATGTTTAGCCAAATACTTGTTTATTGTCTGGTTACGTAAAAATGCACTGATTCAACTATATATTCCGCTTCTATATTTAAGAGTTCTGTATAACACAATGCAATTATTATACAGCGAATAACTTGATATGTAACAGACTTAAACTTAAACTATCAGTTGCTTTTAATCTGGATGTGGAATCAAAGAACGAACTGCGAGAGGTAAAAGATATAGACAAGTATAGCGTAACCAATGAGGCCACTGAAGCATAACCGACCATAAAATACCTCAAAAGGGGCCTCAGATTTCAAATTTTGATAAGAAGTCTACAATAAGTAGCCGATTACAATGGTAAGACGTTTTGTTTTTAATTTAGCCGCACCAAAAATTTCACAGAAATACATAATAAGGATTCTACAACTTCCAAACTTTTTTGTATGTAGAAACAAAATTGTGCAGTAATCTCTGGAGTAGATACATTAATTACTTTCGTGTATCATCACTATACATTAGATGTGCAACATGATACATAATTAAGCATAAAATTACATAAACCATGTATTATATGCTTTTTAACTTGTAACCTCTTAGAGTGCACACCTAATCATGATTTTTTTACTCTACAATAACGCTAACTGTTTTGTTTAAGAAACACCATAATACAGGTTTTATAATCTAATTCATTGATTAATAAAAACCAATTCTGAGACGTTTAACCAATAAAAAAGCAACTTATAAACAGTGTTTGGAATTTAATTTTTCATGCATTCCTCAAGCTGGAAATGTTAGAGGATCTGCATTAGATCAACATGGCGAATTAACTACACACATCTGGGTTGAGAGAACGCACGTTTCCCTATTGGAGAATGTACTCACGTAGCAACGCAGATAGGACGTTGTTGGCGTAATGTTATGTTGGGTGATTATACAGGCCTACTGGGGAAATTGCAAATCTAACATTTCAACTTTGAATAACCAAAAATAATAGAGTACACAAATTCCGCAGTTTGAGCAAAATAAAAAAAAAGGATTACAAATTTCCAAAATGGATTGTTTCTTTTTACAAGATTAACTTCCTAGTTTTAAAATATAAATCAATATATTTATTTTTTTTTATATGACGCAAACACAATTAATGATCGGATTGTGTAAACAAAAGTGCTTTTACCCGAACATAGTTACAAAAAACAAGAGGAGAATGGATTATCGAGCATAATTTAATTTAAAATTATCCAATAAAGTATCCTTAGGCTAGTAACAATGACAAAAAATGTATCGATTGTGAAATTATGTGAATTAATCCAATTATTATTAACTAGTTTATATCCTACTAGTCTGATATTGTGTTCGACTGGCTGATTATAGTTTCTTATCTGCAGCTATCTATTTTATCCATTTCAGTTGACACGGCGTAAAATACCCAAACAAGTTACTCGATTAAACTACCTTCTTTATGGTAAAGGCATTTTTATACTAAATCCTACTAATAGTTATATATATCTGCAATAAAAAAGCAATAAAAAACTAAAAGAACAGAAGTGTACTGCCCTATTTCGTTTCGACAAAAATATTGGAATTTATTCAAGTTTCGTTTCTTACAATTTGTATTGTGTTGTACGTTTAAAATTGTTTCTTATTTCTTGATCTATAAAATAATATATTTTTTTATTAGAGTCTTAGAATCGCGAAATTGTAGTTTTAATTGGCCAGAAGTAAGCATGTAGTTCACAGACTAAAGTTTTGCACACACTAATGAATATGCACAACTGGAGGAGGTAAGGTGTTCCTTTTAATTGAACCTGCATGACATTCGTGTACTTTTGAGAGCTGTACTCGAGGTAATGTTTTGTCCTCGCATTAGACAAAACTATCTGAGTTGATATATATTTCATTATTTAAAGATGAATAAATATCTCTGATATATTTTTAAATAATACAAATATAAAAAATACAGACTTTCTTCATTTTCAAAGGTGAATATTATCCACTATAAAATCTGAAAAAATTGTATTTGATTTTGTAATCTTCTATTAATCGGCTGTACTAATGTATTAATTGGCTGTTAAATTCACACCTTTTGATAATAATGACGTTTTTTAACTGGCATAGCTTTGTACTCGAATTAACTTTGTTTAAAGCTGTGGGATATAAAACACAATAGATTGTTAAATATATTTAATGAGTTCATAGGTTTTAGTAATTTAAATTGCTCAGAATATATTTGATCAAAGCAAATCAATGACAACAAAGCCTGTTGTTTTCCATAGTTTATTTAGAGGTGATTTCAATTCAACTCTATCCAATTGAAGTGTTATTTCTGTTGCAACTAATTTGCTTCATTATTGAAAACACTGTTTTTGTGGACGAGTGTGTAATTGTAGTTTTGAAACCATTGTTTGCACGTATGTAGTTGTATGGATGAATATATTTAAAATCTTTAAATTTTCACCAGAATCAAATCTGTGTTGAAATAATGATACGGTTTATGATCAAAATCCTACCACTACCAGAAAATAAGAGTTTTATTTTACCTACATATTTTAAAATTCAAACAAAAGGTACTTTTAGCCTCTTGGGTACATAAAACTAAGAAAATGGTATAGTAGTCCCATAACTGGGTCTTTTCATCATGACTGCGGTAGTAGTTACTTTTCTACAGGGAAATTCAGACAATATTTGGATCCACACGAAGACTAAGTGCCAATAAATCAGGATACTCAGTTAACATACAGCATACAGATTGGGTATTTCTGCATAATGTATACCTAGTGTGTGGTCAAAAGTATTCGAAAAAATATATTTCAAGTCAATATATTAAATTTGTAATCAAGCAACATGGTTTGGTTAATTTTTTCTTAGTTTTTGTTTACCGAGCAAATTATCGTTAATTTATTCTGTAGTATGATAAAAAAATACCCAGTTTGAAAAAAAATTCCAAAGAACGAAAATCTATCGAAAAAAACCTCTGTATTAATCAACCAATTTATATGTTTCAGAGCGACATACCCGTTGGGACTCTGTTTAACAAAAAGGTAAGAATCAAATTGTATGTACTTAAAAAAAAAAGTTAACTTAATCATGTTGGTAAAAAAATATGAGGACTTTTTGTAGTTGACACTATTGCATGCCGAAAATGATTGTTTTATGCCCATGCAGCAAAACGTAGTCATGCTATCTCAAAAGAGAGTTTTAAGTTTTGTTGTTCAAATTTATGAATGCGTACGAAACAAAGATAATCCAAAGGCCTTAGCAGCGATTTAGAACTTGATATTTATATTACATAAAAATAATAATTGCCAATTAAAAGTTTAAAGAGCATTATATGCTGAAATACTGTTAAGAAATTCTCTAAATTCCGAAAAGTAAAGTAAAATCAAATTCAAGGAAAACTTTTTACCTTTGAAACAATTGATAGTTTATAAGATTTTAAGATTAAAACCTTATTGCCTATTCAAATGCTATAATCTTTATAGTCACTATTGGAATCTTATTAAAAATATCGGTGTTGCAGCAAACCTGCAATCTAATCGCGTATTTATAGTTAGTTAATACCTAGTTAAGTCTTAAACTTTATTTCACTAAATTTCACACTTTTAGGTACACCCAGAATGCATAGCATCGGCCCAATTAGTGGGTGTAATACAGTTTTCTGCTTCGTAGAATACTTTCGATTTTATCAAATTTCAAAAACCTAAATTTTACATCTCTACCTTCGATTTTAATTAAAATCATAAATCGAACGTAGCCAAACTTTTGCTCTTTATGCGTGGTAGTTTTATCATAAATTTGTAAATTTGTACATTTATAATATAATATTACTGCGGAGTAAGTTTCACATAAACTCTTTAGCTTTGATAAGCTACATAAACTAAACGGGAAGAAAATAAAATATGTCAGACGACGCTGGCTGCAATTCCAGAGACGTATAATAGTATTCGTGGATATCTAATATATGGAACCGTCTCCTGAATACCAGAATGCCATGTACTGTCTGCATAGCTACATGCTGCGCTCTCTGTGGCCGTGGGCTTATAAAATATTACTTACTCTCTTTAAAAATAATTAAATGTCTCTTCCAAAATGTCATTTACATTTACACTGCAGTAAGAATTATCATCAAAGTGTTGAAGGGATAATTTTATTCCTACCTTCTACGTAAATAAAAATACTCTTTACACATTCAAGAATTGTTAGGAATTCAGAGATCTGATGATTCCCACATTACTTGTCAAGAAGTTTCAAATGTGAGTAAGCAAATTTACTTAAACTTCTGTAGACTTCCAGTAGACATATAACCCTGTTGTTAAGTCTCCTTTGTATGCACTTTTTTGTAGCTGGTAACATTTGAGCAAATGTTGAATATCTCCTATTTCATGGTAAAGGGTATTTTTTACAATTTACCATTTACCAGGTATAAATACCTGAATACAACTAGTTTGTAACACAAATATATGCTTATTTGGCTTATAATGTTGGATTGTATTTGTAAGTTACGTTACTTTTCAACTGTTAACATCAGTCGCAAACAATTTATCATATAATTATTTTATTTAGTTTAAACTATCACAACTTAGTACAAGGGCCAGTTAAAACCTAACGTTTTTATAGAATTAGAAATGTGTAATGAATATTTAAATCAACTAATCAGTAAATGACGATGTAAATAAGCCAATTAAACACTTTTCAGCATTTCACAATCCAATTAAAACAAGAATATTAGGTAATTTTACGTCGGGTCTTCTGTTAAACTAAAAATATAAACTTTACAAAATGTTACCAAAACATAATTCCTTTGGTGTAGTCATGAATGTTATAACATACAATGAGGTCAAAATATTTTAAATGCTATTTTCAGTACATAAAGGAAGAGAAAAAATAATTCTCGGAGACAGATCCGAGTGAACTGGACCGTATTTTCCAGTGTTTTGATCGGACGAGCTGGAAGACAAGTGACAGTAACAGACAGAATGTTTTGTTAGTCTTGGTCTTTGGTTACAAAAAAGCTGGGGATCTTTTGAAAACTTATCTTAAATGTCTTTTAATACTAATATTTCAGGTTATTCAACCATATATAAAAAAAAAATTCTTTGTGCTCTTTACGTATACAAACTATTTATCTTCAATTTGATAGAATTTTTTTGTTTTTAAATATAATTAAAGCCACGTAACGTGTTGTAGTGTTGTGGTCGTACTTTTATGATTGAATTCAAATTCATAAGTATCTTTATTTTGAGGGAGGAATAGTTATCAGGTAATCGAATGCGTAATGCAAAGTTAAACAAAATTTAAACTTAGAAAAAATGTGGTTAATTTTGTTGGTGAATGTTTATCAAAATAATATACCAAGATAAAGCAAAATATTTGCTTCTAGATTTTTCCATATAACATTAATGAAAATGTTGATGCATAGCCACTCTAAGTTTCTTTACTTGTGATAGATTTGAACGCGGTAATCTTACATGGAGGCCTGGGCTGAATCCTCGTCCAGTGGTTCGAAACCCATGTTGTCCATCTACCAAGAAACCTATACTAATAGTAGGGTGTCCTGGTGAAGAGAACTCTAGTTGAACTGTTGATGTTATTTCATTGGAAACCCACCATTGAAAAACAACTATTCCGGAAGCTGGTATTCTGTATTGGGATCAAATTTTTTGATTGGGGACAAATTTGTGAAAATATTTTTTTAGGTTTATTTAAAAATGTACAACCGTTAACCCTGTGGTCTAAAATTTTCCCAGTTACGCGACGTGGGGAAGTAATACAATAACCAAAGAAAAGTTTCCTATTGCATTTCCTTTAAGGGGATGAAAAAGTCGGTTTCCCGTAGTTTCCGGTTAGCTTCCTTCCTCCTAAATAAATAGAAATCTCAATTTAAATACCTCAGGGAAGAATAAGGATGTAATATCCTGGAGAACCTTTGGGAGAAATTATATGTTTGCGGAATTTTTAGGTTATATTTATCGAAAATATCTATATTGCTTGTTCACATACAGCGATTGTTCTTGTAGCGTTAGCTATTAACATTATCTATTAATATTTTGGTCTAGTAACGAATATATATTTTCATGCTCACAATATTTAGAAGGCGAATTAGTTTCATAACACATTGTTTACTAGTATTTGTAGTTCAATAGCATTTATTTATATCAAATCTTATGTTGACGCATTTGTTATAATTTAATGCTCGTAAATTGCAAGATAATGTTGAATTTGTACAAAATATAGGTAACAACTAAAAAATTTTAAAATCTGTTAATGAAATTTCTAAATTATTAACAAAGATTTTCCAAATTAATAAGTACTTGTATGTATGCTTAGTATCAATAAACATGTTAGAAAGGAATATCCACCGTAAATCTATTCGGCGAAGGTGTATTTTTTCAGGACATTAGCTTAGTTTATGGGAGGCAGCGCAGTGAACGGTCGAGTGATTTTTATTCCAAACGAAAATAACAGTATTTACTCTCTCTGGCCGGAATAAAAATGGCGCCTCTTTGTTTCAGTTTAAAAAAATACCATCTTGTTTCCACATTATTTTAGTTTTGTACTATGCAATTATATAATTATTCAGTTTTGTGTTATAAATTCATTGCACAGTACATGTGCTGTACCGGCTGTACCAAGTAATAAATAAACAAAGAATAAGTCACTGTGGCAGTAATATTCTACTTTTAAACTTCGCATGGCTTTTTAAATATGTATACATAATACCCATAGTGCTCTGTTTCAAATTTTTAGTCAACGGGGTTCAAATAGTCGTGTCTATAATTTATGTTAAATAACCAAACAATTTCAAGGTGTTTCCAACCATGTTTAATTTGTAGATACATTCTAGTAGATAGTTCTAATTGCTCTTTGAAGAGCAGAATTAGTATACAAAATTTGGATTAAAGTGGCCACTATCCCCCAAACCCAGTTTACTTAGTTGTTATAGTTTGTACCCGACTCATAATCAGAAGGTCAATTTGGTGGTGCTACATTTAATGGTTATTGTACTAGTCCGTTCGTGATCTTACTGTCACCATGGCAACCTTTAGATTAAAATCCCATCACCAAGCTCATTCTAATGTCATATCACTAAAGATAAGGTCACTGGTGAACACAAAAACACGAACAGAAAACATAAAACACGAAAACACAGAAGGCCATTATGTAGACTGCGAATATATACAAATGACCAGTACATGCCTCTACGACGCAGCACGGGCATCAGTTGGTTTTATTTGACAATAGACCTTTTTATTCCTAAACCTGAACACAACTTGGTTCTTATGAAAAATCACCCTGGACAAGGACTCAGCTAATCTTAGTCAGTAAAAAAGCTACACAGATCTTCTCACTCCTTTCTTACTCACATTCAATTTAAAATACCCACTAAAGAGGCCTCTGTCTTAGCAAAGTGATTAATTGACACCATTAGGTTGAATAAAAATTACCAACCGTTGAAAATAAATACCCCCGCCGCAGCAAACCTGCAGACTAAGTGAATTTCTATTAGCCAGATTGGATTTACACTAAAATGGCTACTTAAAAATATCACATTTATTCCCTATTTAAATAGAATTAGTTTAACAAGTACTTAGGTTTGCTGCAACAAGGAGGGTAAAAATATGTTTTTTATGTTAATAGTTAAGTATTAAATGAATACATTTTCCAAATTTGATCAAAATATGTTCATAAACAAGCAAACTACAACAGTTTTCACTTATTCTCCATAAGAATAACATGGGAATTTTAAAATTACAGATTTTTGGAATTTTCTCCGTAACCATTAGGCTAATAATGACGCTTCAATATACTAAATTATTTGTTTTTTTTAAGCTGTACAAAATGGTTTGAAAAGGAATTGATAAATTTTAAGTTTTTAGGGTCAAAAATTGGAAAAATCTATTTTTACCCCATAAAACCCCCATAAACCCCTGTTCCCATAGTCCGATCATGCTGGTTCGTAAAAAAACGTAGGTTTACACGTTTGTACCAAATTTCATCAAAATCGGATAATTTTTGCTCGAGTTATCGCGCTAACGGACAC